CCAGGGTTGATCTAACGTCCCTCAGATCCTCGCTAACTAATCGTGTCCCGATATGTTTTCTGGAATGCTCACTACTCCAAGACAAGCATGGTGGTGGAATCTTCTGTGACCAGAATTCATATTTCTTGTCCTTTCTTCCTGATTGTCACTGGACTTCCAGGCCTCACAGTCACTGTTCAACAGGAGCCACGATTCTTGTATTTGTTTTGTCATTTTATGCTTTTTTGCAGGAATCTGTCTGCACAGGCTTCCAAGCTGGAAAAAAGTCACAATGTTGAATTTACCTTTTTTATTTTTTTTAATTCCTCCCTCCTTTCCTTACTCCCTGAGCAAATCCAGATTGAACACACCCTAGGCATGCTGCATGTTCCAGGCTGTGCAGACAGTGTCTCCTGTGTTTACAAAGGGTGTACCATCTCGATGTGAACGCAAGACAAATACACTTGAAATGTAGTTAAACCTCTATGTAGATTACACTATGATATATTTTGAGAACCCATATCCAGGCCTCAGATGGAATCTAGAAGCAAGGTTGAAATGTCTCTCTTGAAACAAAGCTTTAGAAAAACCTATGCTATCATGCATAAAACCACCTGTGTCGTTGCTGAGAGTTTGTTGAATTTTGGATCCAACTCGGTAGCAAGGTCTTCTCATTCCTCACCAATAAAATTAGGCGTGGAGAGAAAGGGTTTCTGAATGACAACAACTCACGTAGCTGAAAACAGTTACATAACCTGGAGCAGCTGGAGAAGAACAGTGAGTAGCCCGGAAGGACATGGGCATGTTTAGAAAAAGCTCAACACCAGATGCTCCCAGTGTTAGGTCTGAGTTGTCAGGGAAAGCGCTGTAGCTGGGCACAGGCGTGTCTTTTGCTTAGCAAGACAAAAGTGTGCGGTGTGCATGGTAAAGTTATGCCAGAGCAAATTAAAATATGCATGTGGGGGCCTCCCTGGTGGTGAACAGGTGAAAGTCTCGGCACTATCAAGCAATCTGCAGCCACTGCAACGTAAGTTTGATCTCAGGCCAGGCAGCTGACCCATATGGCCCAGCAGATCGCTGTTGTCTCCCTGCTGCTCCCTCAGCGCTGTATTTCAGTCTATTCATTCTGCTCCACACTCTGTCTCTGGTGAATCCTCTCAATCCCCCCGGCACCTGCACACATGTGGCCTACACTCAGGTCTTGTATGCATGAATAACATAAATCTTTAAAGTAAAATAAATCATCTAGTAACTTGAAAAGTTTAACTTTTACAAACCTTCTTCCCCAGTTCGTTGCAGGAAGCTAGTGTCTTGTTGGAATGGCGGCAATTGTGCTGGTCTAAACTTCTGGGATGGAGAGGTGGGATCCACCCACCTGAGTTAGTTCGTGGGGTGGCCTTGACCAGAGGGAGCTGGCTCCCGAAGTGCTCCCCAATCACAGACATGTCCTCTTGCCTTGAGCCGAGCTGGCCCTTGATTGTCATCTCTTCTGGGAGGTCTGTGGTCTGCGTGGGGAGTTGAGTCTTTTTGTAGATTGAGCGGCCCATTCTCCAGCACATTCTACTCGGAATCCTGGTTGTGGACATGTGTCAGATGTCTGGAGGTCACCAATTCCAACACAGGCTGTTGAGTCTGAAGTCCTTAAATTGTCACCACTTGTGAAGTTTTATGGTGACAAGACGTGGAGGCCTCTTGTGAACCAGAGAAAATTGTGAAGCTGAGCAGTTAGGACGAGGGACGGTTTCTCTGCGAGCTCCCTTTCACCTTCCTTCCGTCTTTTCTCCCCTCCCCACTTAGCCTGTTCACACAAGATATCATTGTAAAATAATATAAGCCTAGAGAGAAAATTAAAATGGTTAAAATAACCATCTGTATACACACTGTTTTCAGACTTGTAGGTGGTTTCATGCTTCTGGCTTACATTGGCCAGCTTTGGTGCACTTTCTAACTTCTGGGGGTACCTTCCTTACAAATGAATTTCTGGGTCCATGGGATGGACTCCAAATTATACATATTGCTCACTCGTTCCTCCAAATCTCCCTGTGCGGTACAGGTGGGGATGATGTTGGTTTTCACTTTATGAAGTCCGGAGTGAGGTCCGACGCCCCGTTTTGTGATTTTTGTTGGCGTTGTGATAGCCTACGTCCCTGTGCAGACTCAGAGGACTTTTCACTCTGGGCTGACCATAGCATGCCCCACTTACAAATTTCAGTTGTGGACACTTCACTGGGACTGGCCGCCTGAGTCTGGGTAGAAGGCAGCAACCGAGACCGGAGACCGAGCCTCATGAAGAATCACTGCACTCCGATGTCATTGCTCATGAGAAGTCTGACACAGAAGTGATTAACCTGAGCATTTGCGGGGCTGTCGTGTCAAGAGAAATTGGATTCCCTCTGGGAGGTTCTAACTACAAAACAAGCAGCTGAGGTTGGATGGACCTAGGCAGGCAAGATTGAGTTTAACGTGCAAGAGCCTTGTCTGGCAGAAGGTCTGAAAATGGATTGAGCCCCCCAGTTCCCTCTACATCCCTGGAGACACTGTGCAGGGCCCCACAGCTACCTCTGGGACAATACACATGGCCAGTGTGTAAAGGGAATTCGTTATAAGTGTTTGAATTGGGAGCCTTGGTGCAAACATCTCAACTGCAGGCCTGGAGCTTGGTTTCAGGGCTCTGCTTTCAGCCCTCTCTGGTGGAGGCCTTCCTTCCCTTCTGGAACCTTCTCATCTGCCCTTTGCCACACGTAGCTCACGACAAATAGGAGTGATGATGTTTCACATTCTGTTCAGTCGTTTAGCAGCCCAGGCAAGAGATGGTTCCTTGATTGTGTTTTCCTTGTATTTTCCCAACCACGAGTCCCAGGCTTGAGACTTAGACATCTGGTTACAAGTCACAGGTTTTTTTTTTTTTTTTAAAACGATTTATTTATTTATGCACGCAAGAACTGGGGTGTTTGCCAGAGGTGTGAGGGTGAGAGTATTCACCAGAGACATGGTAGAGAGCACCATAGGAGGATTTCCTGAAATATGTTGCTGAGGGGAGCAGCAGGGTAACAGGGGAGATCTGTTGAGCCATGTAGATCCCCTCCCTGGCTGGGGATTGAACGGGGATTGAACTTGTGTTGAAGTGGCTCAGGTAGCTTCATGGTGCTGAGACGTAACCCCTTGCACCGCCAGGGAGGCCCCAGTCAGGGTTCTTCACACTCTGTTTGTTCATTTCTGGGGAGCCTTCTTCTCCCGCTCTCTGTAAAGACTTCCAGGCCTGGTTTCACCATCTTGTGATCTGTAGCCGCCCTGTGCTGTTTCTGAATCCTACCTGTGGTTTGCAGCATCCTTGCTGAGCCCTTTAACATTTTGGGGGTCATGCATTTTCCTTATTTCGCTGTGGATACTTGAAGAGGTTAGCAAAATGCCAGATATTCTGCCACGTCCACTGGACAGTGAGGCAAATTGCCCAGCTGATTTGAACATTGCCAACACAGCTGTTTAGGTCATAACCAGACCTTTTCCCTGGAAGCGTGTGGTCTGGTAAACAGCAAGAGGGCGGCACTGGGGTCAGGTGGAGAGGCAGAACCTCTTGCTCCACCGTGAAGTCGCCCAACCAGAACCGGCATTTGAGAGAGCCGGCTTCGTACTGTGCCCGGTGGCGGGCCCAGGGGACATGCTTCTGAGCCTGTGGCTAGTTCTCTCTCTGTGGAGTTTTTGGGGGAGGCTGGAGGGCGGTTGGAGTACCAGTTAACGTGCCTGGCACTGTGACTGGGTTCTTATGCGTGGTAAGCACATTTAATCCTCAGATTTACCCTCTAAAGGAAGGATTATTTGAGGCTCAGAAAAGTTGTCACCGGACCTGCCAAGGTGTCACTAAACAACAGATTCTAAAGGCTCTCGCCTAAGTCGAAGACAGCAAAGTTGAGGCCCAGGATGGCCTGCCCGAGTCTGGAAGCCTCCAGTCTCTCTGGCTTCTTCTGGGCACACCCTGGGCTTCCTGCCCAGCCAGGTGCCCTGTGGGAGGATGGGAGAGGCGGCCTGTCCCCATCTGCTGGCCCTTCACAGTCCCACTGTGGCTCTTAAATCTGGGTCTCACCTGTAGTCTCAACTCCTGAGCAAGCTCAGGGCATACATGAACTCGTTTCTCAGGAGATGCTTTTAGCAAACTGCACTGGAGTGTGTGTGTGTGTGTGTGTGTGTGTGTGTGTGTGTGTGTGGTTATTTCTGATTATGTCATTTGAATGGCTAGCTATTTTGTGGAAACTAGTTCGTCACTTCCATTTTGGAGCTCTTAGGATATACTCTCTCCTTCTTGGTTGGCGAAGTCAAATCAATGCTAAGAAATGACCTTCAGACACTAAGTACTACTCAGTTTTCCAGTCTGCATTCCTGCTGTCTTCTTGGAGGTTCAGGAATAAGTCTGTGCTTGTCACACTTGGTGCTCTGCTGAAAATAACGACTTACTACTCTGCTAGTGAAGTCACCACTTGGAAGTGGCAGGAATCCAAATTTGCCCAAAAGCTGTGTGAGGTGCAGTGAACAATCTAAGCAAAAAAGACAGAGATAAACCAGGTGTTTTATTTATAAGTGCCACTTAGCCAAATTAATCCTGATAACTGAAGTAAAATTAGACTAACAATTATGACAAATTGATGTATTTTGCAATTGTTTACCTCCCTACTTAGCATTTGGGATAAACCTTTAAGCATCTGAGGAGGGAATTGTCTACAATGGTCCATTCCTGCCTTGCCCCAGGATTCTCTCAGCCCTTAGTCCCCTCCCCCCTGTTGCTTCTTTTAAAAATCAGAGACAAATTTCAACTCCCCACCCAATGCTCTTTGCTGGTATTTTTGTTTCTCTTTAGGTATCATCCGATTTTCTTTTCCTTTCCCACTGACATCGGCTTATTTCATATGAATGCGTAATATATTAAATGCATATGCATTTAAAATATTGTTTTGATTTTGTTTGTGAATTGTTTCTCTTCAAGGGCCTGTCTGGGGAAATGAGTAATTTTTCATATCCTGTTCTTGCAGGAAGAATTTTAAATCGTTTCTCCAAAGACATCGGGCATATGGATGACTTGCTGCCGCTGACATTTCTCGATTTCATCCAGGTAACATCAGAGTAACATCAAGTGCTCAAGGCCCTTTTGTGGGGGCTCGGGTGGGCCTCCCCGCCAGGCGATGTGTCATGTTATCTTAGCACAAGGCCATGTTTGTAAAAGGAAGGTGTGGCTGTGATTCGGAGGCTAAGTTAACATGAGTAACACCCGTGTGTGGGTGTATCCTCACCTTCATGTCAAGGTTGGTTCAAAGCTGCTACATGCTTGGTAAGTGCTTCTCCACCTGCCTTCCAGGTATCTGGCGTGGATTGCACTTCACTGTGAACACATTTCATAATATAGAAACAATCACCTCTCACGGAAAGATAGCCTAGATTAACTAAATTATGCATTGTATTACCACAAAGGGCAAATATTTACAGCACCGTTTTTTGGATAAAACCAGGTGTGGTTACTTACAAAGAAAAGATTAGGAATAATAAGGTGAAAATAATACTTTTGTTAACAAGGACAATAGAGAGCAGTTATGACAGATACAAAGCCTTTAAAGGCAAGTATGTTTAAGCCAATAATTTGATTCCAGGATCAAAGTCATTTCAGAAAATGTCTTTTTTGTTGTTAAGTTTTCCTAGGTAGCTTTTTCTTTTCACGTGTTGATTGCTCTGAGTCTTAGAGGATCTTTAACAAAAACTGAAAGCCAAACCCACAACCCTGAGAAACACTTTCTTCTAAAGCATTTGTTTTGTCTATAAACCTGGGGTTCCAAAGAATAACATGGGCACTCCTCTCTCCTCACCATCATTGCGCATGTGCTGTTTGTTTGCTGCTTCATTCTGTGTCCTTTTCTGTGGTGTGTCTTCATTTCCAAGTGTTTATTTGGAAATGACATACAGTCATTTGTAAATGACATACAAACCACGCATCTCCTCAAATTCCCGCTGTTATTTGCCCATATCCAACCTTCCTCTTTTTCCTGGCCACCAGGTCACAGTCATTAACCAGGAATTCATTTTTTTTTTTTAAAGATTTATTTAATTGTGCATACAGAACTGGGGTAGGGATACATGCCAGAGATGCAGGGGCGCTGAGAGGATTCACCAGAGACAGAGTGGGGAGCGGAACAGGCAGATTGACGAAGTACACTGCTGAGGGGAGCAGCGGGCGGGTCAGGAGAGGTCTGTTGCTCCATGTGGGTCACTACCAGGGGTGGGGATCGAACTTGCACTGATGAGGCTGCAGCCGTGATAGGGGACAATCCGGCCTCACTTGCTTCCTTTGCACCCCAGGGACATGGGTCTGTTGGGATCCTCTCACTCCATCTTGGTGAGACTCGGCATGGCCGAATACCGGCAGCCCTCAGTCGCTGATCTCTTGGCTCTAAACAGCAAAGGTAAATTGGCCCACGATTGTCTCCAAAAAAGGCCTTTTGGGTAAAGGGTAACTCAGTTATCAGTTATGATAAAGAGCTATTGTCACTGGTTTTGTTCACAGGTGCCTTTAATAAGGCCTCCCATAATCCCTTCAGGAAGAAATATTTTCTCCTTTTAAAAATAGTATTAGCTAAATATAAAAGCCCTGATCCCTGCCATTGTTGTCGGTTCTTTGAGGGACATTTCCCAACATTCATTGTTTAAATGGTTGTCAGGAGGAATCAAGTGAAACTTCATGGACAATGCCGTCACGGGTTCATCTTACTTTGTGTGCTCAAGCCTTGTGCTGAGCATTTGCATTCGACGAGAGGGCTTTTGAGGGAGGCTGCACCAGGGTCCTTTGGAAGCGTTTGGGCCTGTGGCCTTTCGCGCAAGGGCAGGTTTTTCCCTAAACTCACAACAAAATGAATTCAACCTGCCCTCACATAAAGGACAACAGAAACCCAACCTGTACATTGATTCCCCTCCCCACCCCCTTTCCCCTGTTTAAAGTTGGATAGGACTCTGTAGGGATGAAAACAACCCTAGTGGTCCTAGTGGTGTTCTGGGACTCTTAATGGAATCATGTAAACTTAAAATAAACACTATTATGGTAAGCACATAGAATGAAAACTAATTTTCCAAATCAAATACATTATATTCAATTCATTTTCCCCAATCAACCAAATGTTTAAAACCTGTTAGTTATAACAGCAATCTCCTGGAAATTAATTAGAAGCCTATTAGCTCTGCTAGCTGAGCCGAGTGAAGAGTGGTGCTCTTTACATCTCTAAATAGGCTTCCGAATCAAAGCCAAGCAAGGTCAAAGTGACAGGCAGGTCGACTGTCACCTCCCAGCTCTGCTGAAGCAGTTGATCCAATTGTTGTTTTTCCTGGAGGGGACCAGGGGCTACTCCTTGAAAGGTAATTTTGTCGACTTTGAGTCAACCCTTTTAATATTTAAAAATCTAAGCGGTCAGGTAAGACATGGCAGCACGAATAGAGTCTCCGTCAAGCCTGCTAAAATGGAAATGACATGTAGGTCTCTGCTCTAGCTTCCGGACTCTTTTAAAGACTCTCTTTAACCCTTTCAGAACTCATGTAGCAGATTTTCTTTGTATCTCCTGGTGACATTAAGGAAATTTGCAACCTACCTTCAGAGGTTCCAGAGGCCTTAAATTTAATGTCCCTCACCCAGTCCTCTGGGCAAGATTACCCCACCACTGGCATTCTCTCCTGTGCTCTGGAGTTCCCAGAACTAGAGTCCTCAACCCCAAGCTGCATCTGACTCTACTGTTGAGTTTACTTTTTAAAGATTCAAGCACAGACATAAGTAAATTGGTGGTAGGAAGCCCATGAGGATTATAGTTGAGATGAAAAATGCACAGTATGTAAAATGATGTTAAATTGTGCATAGAGGAACCAGGCTATTTGTGACAGAGGTGTGGGTAGGGGGGTGAGAGAACTCAGCAGAGACAGAGTGGGGAACACAACAGACATATACACTGAAATACACTGTTTAGGGAGCAGCAGGCTCCATGAAGGTCAGCGCCCTGGCCAGGGGTCAAAGGCCCAGTCATTAATAGTGCTGAGCCTTAACCCCTTCATCACCTCAACTGTTGCGTTGAAAAGGATCTGGGCGCCGTGGCTTCAACAGCACTTACAAGAACTGAGAAATGGAAGGACATGGAGGAGGTTAGCATGGCCCCTTCACACACTCCTGAAACTGTCCCTGTTTACAAAGTGTTTCCTACCCCTTGGGAGACATTAAAAACTTGGGCCCTCCCTGGTGGTGCAGCAGGTTCAAGTACAGCACTAAGAAGCTAAAGACACTTCAACATGAGTTTGATCCCCACCCTGGTGGTGACCTCTCCTGCCTTGCCTGCTGCTCCCCTCAGCATTGGACTTCTTTGATCTGCCTGTTCTGCTCCCCACTCTG